GTTGGCCATTTGTATGTCTTCTTTGGACAAATATCTGTTCATGTCTTCTGCCCATTTGTTGATTGGATTATTTGTTCTGTGGGTGTTGAGTTTGATAAGTTCTTTATAGATTTTGGACACTAGCCCTTTATCTGATATGTCATTTGCAAATATCTTCTCCCATTTGGTCAGTTGTCTTTTGATTTTGTTGACTGTTTCCTTTGCTGTGCAAAAGCTTTTTATCTTGATGAAGTCCCAGTAGTTCATTTTTGCCTTTGTTTCCCTTTCCTTTGGAGACATGTCTAGCAAGAAGTTGCACGGCCAAGGTTAAAGATGTTGCTGCCTGTGTTCTCTTCTAGGATTTTGATGGATTCTCACATTTAGGTCTTTCATCCATTTTGAGTATATTTTTGTGTATGGTGTAAGGAAATGGTTCAGTTTCATTCTTCTACGTGTGGCTGTCTAATTTTCCCAAAACCATTTGTTGAAGGGACTGTCTTTTTTCTATTGGATATTCTTTCCTGCTTTGTCGAAGATTAGTTGACTATAGAGTTGAGGGTCCATTTCTGGGTTCTCTGTGTACTTTTTGAAGAGTTTTTGTATGCAACTGAAGTTAAGTAATTATCAGTTTAAAATAGACTGTTATAAGACATAATTTTATGTAAGCCTCATGGTAACCACCAAGAACAAATCTCTAATAGCTTCAAAAGTTAAAGACAAAGGACTCAAAACGTACAAGTGGGGAAAAAAATCCAATCACAAAGAAGATAAAAGAAGAAAGGAACTTCAGAACATTTAGGGGAAAAATGTAAATGGCAAAATGTATCTTTCCTTATCAATAATTACTTTAAATTTAAATGGATTAAATTATCCAAAGATAATGAGTGGCTGAGTGGGTTAAAAAAGAAAACCCAAGTATATGCTGCCTACATGAGGCTCATTTTAGCTTTAAAAACACTAGCACTGGAAGTGAAGGGATGGGAAAAAATATTCCATGCAAATGGTAACCAAAAGAGAACAGGGGTGTGTATATTTATATCAGAGAAAATAGACTTTAAGTCAAAAACCCTCCCAAGAGATAAGAAGGTTATTATATAATCAAACTGGGGTCAATTTATCAAAAGGCTCTAACAATTGTAAATACATGTAACCAACATCATAGTACCTTGATGTATAAAACACTTATTGACAGAACTGAAGGGAGAGATAGACAGCAGTACTTTAATACCCCACTTACCATAATGGATAGGTCATCCAGACAGAAAATCAATAAGGAAACAGTGGATTTGGATAACACTATGGATGAAATGGACATAACAGATACACACAAACATTTCATTTAACAGCAGCAGAGTACACATTCTTCTTAAGCACTCATGGAACACCCTTAAGGATAGATCATATATTTACCACAAAGAAGTCTTAACAAATTTAAGAAAAATGAAATCATACCATCTTTTTTGACCACAAAGATTTGAAACTAGAATCCAGTAACAGAAAGAAAATTGGAAAGTTCACAGATATGTGAAAATTAAATAATACACTTCTGAATAACCAGTGGTTTCAAGGAAAAATAAAAATGTAAATAAAAAGAAATATTTTGAGACAAATGAAAATGGAAATACAACAAACCAATCTTAAGGATACAGCAAAAGCAGTTCTATGAGGGAAATATGTAGTGATATATGTCTAGAAATAAAAAAAGAAAGATCTCAAGTAAACAACCTAACTTTATACTTTAAGTAACTAGAAAAAGAACCAAATATACTCAAAATTAGTAGAAGAAAATGGTGGGATGGAAGCTGGTGCAGCCACTCTGGAAAACAGTATGGAGGTTCCTCAAAAAGTTAAAAATAGAGCTACCCTACGACCCAGCAATTGCACTCCTGGGTATTTACCCCAAAGATACAAATGTAGGGATCCGAAGGGGTACATGCACCCCGATGTTTATAGCAGCAATGTCCACAATAGCCAAAATATGGAAAGAGCCAAGATGTCCATCGACAGATGAATGGATAAAGAAGATGTGGTATATACGTATATATATGTATCACATATACATATATATACACAATGGAATATTATGCAGCCATCAAAAGGAATGAAAGCTTGCCATTTGCAATGATGTGGATGGAACTGGAGGGTATTATGCTGAGTGAAATAAGTCAATCAGAGAAAGACATATCATATGACCTCAGTGATATGAGGAATTCTTAATCTCAGGAAACAAACTGAGGGTTGCTAGAGTGGTGGGGGGCGGGAGGGATGGGGTGGCTGGGTGATAGACATTGGGGAGGATATGTGCTATGGTGAGCACAGTGAATTGTGCAAGACTGTTGAATCACAGATCTGTACCTCTGAAGCAAATAATACATTATATGTTAAAAAAAAAAAGAAGAAGATAGCAGGAGGGGAAGAATGAAGGGGGGGAAATCAGAGGGGAGATGAACCATGATAGACCATGGACTCTGAGAAACAAACTGAGGGTTCTAGAGGAGAGGCGGGTGGGAGGATGGGTTAGTCTGGTGAATGGTATTAAAGAGGGCACATACTGAATGGAGCACTGGGTGTTATAAGCAAACAATGAATCATGGAACACTACATCAAGAACTAATGTTGTAATGTATGGTGATTAACAAAAAAATAAAATAAAAAAAAGAAATAAACGAAACAAAGACAAGGAAAACAATAGTAAAGATTAACAAAACTAAGAACTAGTGTTCGGAGAAGAAAAACAAAATTGACATCCTTTTAGCTAGATGTACTAAGAAAAAATAGAGAAATAACCAAGTAAATAAAATTATAAATGAAAGAGGACATATTACAACCAATATCACAGAAATAAAAAGGATTATAAATGACTACTATAAGCAATTATATGTCAATCTAGGATAGGATATATATCTAGTATATATATATCTATGTATATATATACATATATTTAATGAAATATTCTTCAGCCATAAAAAAGAAGGAAATCCTGCCACTGTGATGGCATGAATGAACTTGGAAGACATCCTAAGTATAATAATCCAATGACAGAAAGACAAATACTTCATTATCTTACTTAATTTGTGCAATCTAAAAAAGTTGAACTCCTAGAAGTCAAGAGTTGAATGGTGAGTACAAAAAACTTTGAGTGGGAGAAATGGGGAAATAGTGATCAAAGGGTACAAAGTTTCAGTTGTGCAGAATGAATAAGTTCTGGAGACCTAATATATAGAACAATGACTATAATAATACCATATGGTATACTTAAAATTTGCTAAGACAGTAGACCATAATTATTCTCACTGAAGGATAAACAAAAACCAGTAACTACATGAGATGATAGATATATGACTTAGCTGGAATGAGGGAGTCATTTCACAATATATATGTATATCAAAATGTAACATTGTTCATTGTAAATATATGCAATTTTTATATCTCAATTACAACTTAATAAAGCTCAGGAAGAATGAAAGTGCAAATCCAAAAATGTCAGGCTTTTTTTGGGGGGGAAGAAGGAAAATAACTGTAAACTGGAGATAGTAAAGATTTTTTAAAAATTAAAGGAATGCCAATCACCATAAAAGAAGAAATTTAGGAGGTCTTATGTTCAGAATATGTAAGGAATTCGTAACTTGGTAACAAAAAGATGAATAGTCCAATTAAAAAATGAGCATATAACTTGAACAACCACCTTATAAATTACAACAGAAGTTCTATTAGTTACCAATAATCCTCTAAAAATTCTCATCATTCGTCATTAGGGTAATGCAAATTAAAGTCACAATGTGATGTTACTTCACTTACTTGAATGGTTGAAATTAAAAACAAAGAATCCAAAACATAATACCTGTCAATGCTAAATGTAGTTGAGGCTATGGGGCAATTGGAACTTTCAAAAATTCCTCATGGGACTGTAAAATGGTACAACCATTTTGGAAAAGTCTGGTTTTTTTTAAATTATTATTATTTTTTTTATTTTTAGGAAGCCAAACATAGAATGCTCCCAAGATTTCCAGAGTCAGGTATATATGCCCTATGAAATGCGGTTAGGATCTATGAATAAAATGGATACTCACTCCTTTGATTAGGTTACTTTATATATGACTCTGATTAAGGAGACAAGAGTGAGATCCGTCTCTTGGCTTTAATGATTTTAGCTGCAATGTTGTGAGCTGATGACATGACTAAGACCTGTCGGCATCCTACAAAAGTTAAAAGTAACCTCTGGTCAACAGCCAGCAAGAAAATGGGAACTTTAGTCTTAAAACTGCAAGGAATTGAATTCTGCCAATAACCTGGATGAGCTTAAAAGGACTCTCAAGCTTCAGATGTGAATACAGTTTCAGCTAACATCTTGATTCAGTCTTGCTGACCTAAGCAGAAACTTCAGTTGTGCTGTGCAGACCTCAGAGCTAGAGAAATAGTAAGATAGTAACTGTGTATCATTTTAAACTTCAGTATTTGTGGGAATGTGTTAACCAGCCATAGAAAACTAATGCATACTTGAGTTTTCATCTTTATCATCTTTCTCTCTGACAATGTGATATTCAAATAGTAAAACCTTGTTTGGTGTATCTGTAAAGAAGGAGTGAAGTGGCCCATCATGTTGTGATTAATCCCTATCTTCACAGAGTCAAAATACTAGATTTACAATCCTTGTTCCAAAGGACTGTATATCTTATACACATATCTAATTTGATTCACATCCCAAGCAAGACTTTGTAATTAATTTTTCTGGGTTCTCACCTCCACCAAAAATATGTTGTTCTGAATTATGTTTTACTTGCCCCTACTAACTCATATTCTTCTCCAACACTGAAGCTCATTTATTTATTACTAGCACAGGGATCTAATTCCTCAGATCTTTTTCTTCTATTTCTCTCTTCTTAATGGTGCTTTAAAAAAAATGTAGGGCAAATTTAGAAACATTTCAAAGATTAGATTCATTAAAATGACTGAGCATTTTATTCATGAAAATTGGAATAGGGGCATATTGATTTTAGGTGAGGATCCAAAATATCTTTTTTTTTATGTAGATAGGAGATTCATTTTTATTTCTCCAGTGACAATATTCACAGTTGAATATAAATTAAAGTCCCGCTTGGACACCAAAGCCAGGTCCTTTGGGTGGTTCAGTCAAAGAGGTAAGACCTCCAGCTGGCTCACAAGAGAAGCGTCCACTCCTTGGCCCAGGTTTTGGAAATTTGCCAGCTTTGAGCTCATCAATAATTTCTTCGATATCCTTAGGTGTCAGATCCTCATAGTAGTTGTCATTTATTTGAACCATTGGTGCATTTACCCAGGCCCCTAAACATTCCACCTCTATAAGAGTGAAAAGTTTATCAGGCGTAGTCTCCCCAACCTTTATTCCAAGCTTTTTCTGAATGGCCTCCAGTATGCTGTCAGAGTGTCGAAGCATGCAAAGTGTAGTAGTGCAGACCTGAATGTGATACTTTCCAACTGGCTTTGGATTATATATTGTATAAAAAGTTGCTACTTCATATACTCTCATTGGAGGTACTTGTAAAACTTCTGCAACCTTGTTCATAGCAGAGATGGGCAGCCATCCATTCTGTCTTTGGGCTAAATCCAGGACTGGAAGCACAGCTGCTGCTTTATGTCCTTCTGGATAGTTTTTTACAATTGCCTCTATCCTCTTATAGTTTTCTGGTGTGAAATCAAATGGAGTATCTGGGTTATTCTCAGGAGTATCTCTGTGCACAAATAAGGCTCCTCCAGCTCCATTTTGCACAGCTGTCTTATGTAAATTCCTTGTATGTCTCCCCTTTCAGTTCTATCAGTTATTTGCACTATGAAAGGCCACATCCAGCCAGAGGAACTTCATAAAGGATAAGGAAGCCACTGGGCGGTGAGACCAGCCGCCTTGGCCGGGAGCGCCGCGGAGAAGAGGAGGATCCAAAATACCTTACTCAAATATACAGATTAAATTAATATGCTTTTAAATTACTCCTCTGAGTTATTCAGCTTCCACTTCTCTATCCAGGGCTCAGTGGATAAGTGAATACCAATTTCCGACAGGAACAAAAGGTCATCAATGAAAACCTTTTAGAAAAGTGCAATTTTCTAAAATTGCACTTCCCTACTTTCAATCAAGACTTTTGCTCAGGCTCATCATTAAACAATACTTCCTGTTAAGCTATATTTCAGACAGATTAATGTGATTCTGTTCATTTGCCATCTAATTTGGATCCGGGTTTTGGCTGGATTTTTGAGGTGTTACATGAGTCAGTCAATGGTTTAGTTGGAAAGGGTATTGGAATAGAAGCCAGGGATCTGGACTCTTGCTTTGACTATCTCATTTTTCTACACATTTTTTTTCTTTTGATTGGATTAATTACAATTGTAATTTATTGTTTGTATTTATTTAATATCTAACAAAACAGTTTCATGAGGTCATGGATGTGACTCTTGTTTACTAGTGTGTTTCTAACAGATAGTATATTGCTATTAATAGAATGGACATAATCTAATTGTTGAAAATAAATATCTCTTGACTTAAAGCATTTCAGGTACCAAATTGGTGTTCTTTTATTATTTAATATATTTCTAACAACACCCTATAGGATAAAGAATAAATATGCCATTCAAAGATTTAATAGAATTATTACTTGATCATGTTGTTTGTAAATAAAATTCAAAACCAGGTCTGTGGTGCCAGCTTGCCAAGTCAAAGCTGGGAATGTGGGCATTAACTTTGTTAGAGAATCTAGCAGTAGGTCTAAGTGACATTCTTTCCTCTTTTCTACAAGGTCAGATGAGAATATAGAAAGCAGAATTTTATGATGGTCCCACAAGGTTTCTGGTAGTTCATGTGCACACACTTTCCCCCGGTAATTCAACTAAACACTAATGTAGATAATTCTGTGAAGGAATTTTGCAGAAATTATTACCTCTAAATAAGTTTACTTTAAAATAGGGAGATTATTCGAGTGGGCCTGTCTTAATCTGAGGAACTCTAAAATCAGAGTCTACTCTTTCTGCATGCAGAAATGGAAGTCCAAGAGATGTGCACCAGCTGGACTAGAAGAAACCAAACATTTCTGTTGCAAACAGCATATGGGGGCCTTATGACAGAATACTGCAGGAAGCCTCTAGGAGCCGAGTGAACCAACCAGCTGTTAGAATGTAAACAGTGACCTAGTCCTATAGCTTCAAGGAAATCAGTTCTGCCAACAATCAGTGAGCCTCAAGAGACAACCCTATGCCCATATGAGAATTTTAGTACTGGCCAATTCCTTGATTTCAGCCTAATGAGACCATGAACAAAGTCCTAGTTTTATGTCTGGATTTCTTATACACAGAAATGTGAAATAATAAATGGGTATTTTTATAAGCCAGTACATCTGTGGTAATTTGTCATGCAATAATAGAAAAGCAATAAGTTGGGAATGCTTTCAACTTACTGAGAATTGTCCTGGGAGTTTTTTTTTTAAGATTTTATTTATTTGACAGAGAGAGACACAGCAACAGAGGGAACACCAACAGGGGGAGTGGGAGAGGGAGAAGCAGGCTCCCCGCTGAGCAGAGAGCCCGATGCGGGGATCGATCCCAGGACCCTGAGATCCTGACCTGAGCTGAAGGCAGATGAGCCTTAACGACTGAGCCACCCAGGCGCCCCTGTCCTGGGAGTTGTAAGCACTGATTTGTTTTCATGTCATGTTAGAAGAATGGAAAATGAATGGTGCCAATGACAAATGATCCAAATTTACATCTTTATATAGAACCATCTTAGATAGTGTTAAACAAATATTAGGTGCTTGATAGTTTTGTGAAATAAATGAGAGAATGTTAAGGATGAAACCACTTTGAATTATATTCTAAAATAACAGGAATAATAATCATCTTTATATTTTATTAAAAATGAGAATATGCCATTTTCATCACATCATATGCACTATTAACATGACTTAACACTATCAGCTTGATTTATAAAGATGTTAACCTTGATCATTTGATTAATGTATAACTTATTAGGTTTCTCTACTATAAAGTTACTGGATTTTTCCCTGCTTTTCATATTGTACTTTTCTGGAAGGAAGTCACTATGAGCAACTTACACTTAAAGAGGTGGAAAATTATGCTCCACCTACTTGAGGGAAAGTTCATCATAAATTATTTATCTCTTTGGTTTTATATCTAAAAAACTCATAACCTTAGTATAATCATAAGAACACCCACCTTTACAATCAATTGAAGGGCATTCTATTAAATACCTGATCAGTGCTCTTCAAGGCTATCAAGGGCATCAAAAAAAAAAAAAAAGTTCAAAAAAATGATCACAGCCTAGAGGAACCTAAGGAACCATGAAAACTAAATTTAATGTGGTATCATGGATCACTAGAGCAGAAAAGAGACATTAGGTAAAAACTAAAGAAATCTGAATAAGGCATGGATTTTAGTTAATAAAAATATATCAATATTGTTTTGTTACTTATAACAAATATTCTATATTAATACAAGTTATTAATAAAGGAAATTGGGTATAACATAAATGGGAGTCTGTATACTATCTTTGCATTTTCTGTTGATATAAAACTATTCTAAAACAAAAGCTGATTATACTCAGGAGAATGAGAAGAAAAGCCACAGTCCAGGAGAAAATACTTGCAAAAGACACATGTGATAAAGTATTGTTACACAAAATTTAGAAAGAACTCATAAAAGTCAATAATAATAATAATAACCACCCACTTGAAAAATGGTCCAAAGGTGTCTTAATAGATAACCTCACCAAAGAATATATGCAAGATGGCAAAAAGCATTTGAAAAGATACCACATCATATGTCATCAGGGAAATGCAAATTAAAACAGCAATGAGATACCACCATATATATTTATTAGAATGGCCAAAATTCAAAACACTGACAACAACAAATATTGGTGAGGATATTGACCATCAAAAACTCTCATTAATTGATGGTAGAAATACAAAATGGTACAGCCACTTTGGAATAGAGTTTGGCAGTTTCACACAAAATTAAACATACTCTTACCATACTGTCCAGCAATTATACTACTTGGTATTTGTCCACATTAATTGACAACTTATGTCCACACAAAAACTTGCACACACAATTGCCAAAACTTGGAAGCAACCAAAATATTCTTTAGTAGGTGAATGGATAAAAAACCAAAAACCAAAACAAAATTGTGGTAATCCAGACAATGGAATACTATTCAGCACTAAAAAGAAATGAGCTATTGAGTAATGAGAAGACATGCTGTGAACTTCAATGCATATTACTAAGTGAAGCCAATCTGAAAAGGCTACATACTATATGAAACCAACTATATGACATTCTGGAAAAGGCAAAACTATGGAGAGAGTAAAAAAATCAGTGATAGCCCAAGCCTAGATGGAAGGGAGGGATGAATAGGTAGAACACAGAGGATTTTTAGGGCAGTAGAACTGTTCTGTATGGTACTACAGTGGTGGATGGATGTCATTAAATAGTTCTCAAAACCCATAGAATGTACAACATCAAGAGTGAACCATAATGTAAACTATGGACTTTGAATGATAATGACATGTCAGTATAGAACTGATTGGAAAAAAAATACCACTTTTCCAGTGCAGGATATTGATAGTGTAGTTGGTTGTGCATGTGTGTAGACAGGAATTATATGGGAACTTTCTATATTTTCCAGTCAAGTTTTGCTGTGACCCTAAAACTACATTCCAAAATAAAGTCTATGAAAAACAGAACAAAAGTGTATTAAACTAAAATTATCAAGAGAAAACAAGGAGTATGGTTTAAGCCTGTAAAAGAGTGAGAGAGTATTGGGTTTCTGACTGTGAATTCTAATAATGCCCATTACAGAGGTAGGGGAGGGAAGGGAGAGATCAAGGGGAGAGGTGAGGAGATGAGTGTAGGGAGGGGAGGGAAGGTAAGGAGAAGGGAGGACATAGTAGAAAAATGAGGGGAGATTGGGAAGTGGAAAGAGTAGGGCTAACACTGGGAAAATTATGTCATCTCTCTTAGCTTCAGATTCCCCTTCTGTAAAATTAGAATAAAGCCATATTCCATAGAGTTGTTGAAAGTTGTGAGAATTATAGCAATGCATCTAGCCCAGTGCTTAATCCATGAAAATGGATTAATACATGATATATTCTTCTTTATATTATTATGATTTCAAAGGAAAACATTACAAAGACTTATCACAAGGGGAAGGTTGAAATCTTTCACAAAACTATTCGCATAGTATATTTATTTCTTAATTTTGGATTTAGGCTTAAACACAGATATGAAATAGGTATAGAATAGTTGTTAGGGTTAGAATTAATATCAAATACATACTATTATGGGCCTAGATTTTTTTTAAGAACATATAAATTGGGACAAGTAGCCAGGGTGCCTGACTGAATTTGGCTCAAAGAATAAATAAATTTGTCTCACATAATAATGAAAGCAGGGTAGTTGGAGTGAGATCATGTCAGGAATCTGAGTCTACTTTTCTGTTTCTTTTATATTCATATATTGAGCTATGTAACAAGTTGACTCCAGGAATTCTGGTCATGAAATTCAGAACATTTTCCAGAGAAACAAAAACTGTCTCTTCCTGGATGTCATTTCTAGGAAAAAGAAAACTTTCCCAGCAATCACACAGCAGATTTGGAGCTCATGCCCATTCCTTCACTAATACTGGCAAGGGCTACAACTTTACCTTGACTGGCAAAGACGGATCCTCTGAGGTCTCTGAGCTTTGGGGAGTGATGGTCTCTACCATCTCCTCGACCACATGTTTGGGGGAGAACCAAACATAAAACCATGAACTTACAGTGTGATAAATACAAATGCACAAAGTAATAAGGGCAATGGACAATGCCCTTCCAAGTTTGGTATTCTAAACATACTTAAAGGCAGAGTAGGCACATAATACCTAATTTATTTTGAGCAACTCTATTAATTTTTCTGAAAAAAATGGTCATTTGCAAAAGAATGAT